CAAAATAAATCCAGACCTAAATGTAAAATGCAAAACTATAAAACTCCTATAAGACAACATAGGAGCAAACCTAGATGACCTTGAGTGTGGTGATGACATTTTAGATACAACACCAAAGGCATGATCCATGAAAGAAATAATTAATAAAAATAATTAAAATCTTATGCCCTGAAAAATACAATGCCAAGAGAATGAGAAGAGAAACCATAGACTGGTAGAAAATATCCACAAAAGACATATCAATAAAAAACTGTTATCCAAAATATTTTGAGAACTCTTAAAACTCAACAATAATAAAATGAACAGCTTGATTAAAAAATGGGTCAAAGATTGTAACAGACACTTCACCAAAGAAGATAATCAGATATCAAAAGTATATGAAAAGATGTTTTACATTATATGTCATCAAGGAAATGTAAATTTAAAAAAAAATGAGATACCACTACCAGAATGGCCCAAATCTGGAACACTGATACCACTAAGTGCTGATGAGGATGTGAGCAACAGAAACTCTCAGTCATTGCTTGTGGAAAAGAAAAATGCTACAGTCACTAGGAAGATAGTTTGGTGTTTTTTTTTTTTTGCAAAAATATACTTACTATAAAATACAGCAATTATGCTTCTTGGTATTTTAACACAAAGGAGTTAAAAACTTGTGTCCATACAAAAACCTTCACATGATGTTTATAGCAGTTTTATTCATAATTGCCCAAACTTAAAAGCAACCAGGATGTCAATCAGTAGATGAATGCATAAATATATTGTGGTACATCCAGAAAATAAAGTATTATACAGTGTTGAAAAATGAGCTATCAAGGCATGAAAAAACATAAAGGAAACTTAACTGTATATTAATAAGTGAATGAAGTCAATCTGGAAGGTTATATATTGTGTGATTCCAACTATAGGATATTCTGAAAAAGATAAAACTATGAAGACAGTAAAAAGATTAGTGATTTCCAGAGGGTGTGGGGGATAAATATGCAGAACACAGATTTTTTGGGCAGTGGACATACTTGGTATGATACCATAATGATAGATACATATCATATACATCTGTCCAAACATATAGGATGTATATCACCAAGAGAATCACTAATGTAAACAATGGACTTCAGGTATTATGATGCATCAATATAGGTTCATCAATTGTTACAAATGCACTGCTCTGGTAGCAGATGTTGATAATGAGGAAAGCTATGTACGTGTGGGTAGTAGGTATGTGGGAAATCTTTGTGCCTTCCACTCAGTTTTATTATAAGCCTTAAATTGCTCTAAAAATTGTCTTCATTTTTAAAAATCCCTGTCTTCTCAATGCAGAGCTGACTCTAGGAAAGTAAGAATGGAAGAGGGAGACCATTTACAGTGGTCCAGGTGAGAAGGGCCAGTGCCTTGAATTAGGTGGGCAGTGCCACAGATTAATAGAAATGGGAAGATTTGTGAGATATATAGGAAATAAAACCCACAGGACTTGGAGAATGTCCACCATTTTCCAAAGATCAGCTCATCTTCACTTTACAGAGGAAGGAGCTAGGGAAAATTCCATTAACAAAGACCCCTTGAAATTGCAGAGAAAGCTCATGGCAAAAACTTACTCTCAACTGGAATGTTCTGAAAGGACATCACTGGTTACTTACTTGCTAAAAATAAAAGGAAAGAAGAAGAATGGGGGGGTGAGGTAGGAGGTGGGCTAGAAAGGGTCAATAGGGAAAAAAGGAGACATATGTAATACTTTCAACAATAAAGATTTAAAAAAGAAAAAAGAAAGAAAGAGAAGAAAGGTGGTATGTACAAGCACATCCTATATAATAAAAGGGTAATATGCAAATTGACCCTAACAGTGGCATGACCAGAATGACGGCTCGACCAGTCACTATGAGGTGCACTGACCACCTCTCGGTCCCTTCCCCCAGCCGGCAGGCTCCCATCTCCTGATGGCAAATGGGGAACCAGGGGTGGGTGGCGGGGGACGTGGATGGTGCCAGGCCAAGGCCTCCGCCCTGCTGGTTGCCCCACACACAGAGGGCAACCCGCGGCGGGGACAGGTCCAGTAAGTGGGTGGGAATGGCCAACTTCTCAGTCCCTCGCCCCAGCCGGCTGGCAGGCTCCCATCTCCCGATGATGAACGGGGAAACAGGGGTGGGTGGCAGGGACTCAGGCAGTGCCAGGACAAGGCCTCTGCCCCTCTGGTCAAAGGGTGGGGCCCACACACAGAGGGTGACCTGCAGTGGGTGCAGGGCCAGTGAGCAGGAGGGAAACAGCTGACCTCTCAGTCCCTACCCCCACTGGTAGGCTCCCATTGCCTGATGGCGAATGGGGAACCTGGGGTGGGTGGCGTCAGGGGGCAGGGCTGGCTGTCAGCAGCCAGGAAAGACGGCCCTAATTGCAGGCCAGGCCTAGGAACTATACCCATGAACGAATTTCATGCACCAGGCCTCTAGTAATTTACATAATATTTTTCAACAGTCCTTCTTGATTTTAAAGCAAGGGCAGGAATATAAGATTTAAGATTGGAGATCACAGTTATAAACTCAAAATCAAATATATGCACCTATTATGTTCACAATAGTTAGTCTTTCCTGTCCATGATCTAAATGTTGATAGCATCACCTTTAAAAATTAAAATGTAACAAAGTGATCCTTCAGATTTGTATGTTTTCTTGTTTACAAAGTTGTTCCATATACATGATCTCCTTTAATTATCACATCAGTCTTTTGAGAATATATATTATTGGCCACTATTTTCTGATGAGAAAACTGTGAAAACAATTTTCATGCTGTGGAAGCAACATGAACTTTGGAATAATTCAAATTATTCCAAATGGGTTTGAATGTCTTTTGGCTGTCATTTCTTCAATGGGCAAATATTTATATTATTATTTCTCATCTTTTCTTTTCAGGTTTCTTTGTTTGTAACTACCCTCCTCACCTCTGTCAATTGGTCATTTTACTACCATTAGCAATCCCTTCCATACCTATCTTATAATAGGTGTAAACAAGAAGAAAACTCAAGTCACTCACAGCATTCTAAATTTCTAAGTGTTAGAAAAACCAAATTGTGCAGCCTCTATGTCCCCTTTTACCCCATTTTACAGAGCAAGAAACTGAAGCTGAGTGAGAAAAAGACTAGTTGTCAGTCTGTACACAAGCAGTTCTCATGGCTCTGAGACCTATGTTATTTCCATTTTACTTTCCTGCCAGCCCAGCTGGCCCAGTTACTTGTGAGCAACCTTAGTTAAAAGCTTTGGTGAAGCTAGAGGTTCCACCTATTATAATAGGTTTTCAAAGCATTTGCATTTCAATTACATATTCCTGTTTCCCATTACAATAGGGAATTGAGAATTAGTCTTGTTACAACCTGATATTTCCATGAATAGGCTGCTTCTTTACCATAAGGAGTGATTTGTGAGATTCCTCTCCAAGAAAAAGGGATCTATTTGGGATATATCCAGATAAGGTTGAGACCATTAAAATCCCAGGGGACAATTTTTCACCTCCTCAGATGAAAAGCTCTCAGGCCTTTGGGTTCTTTAAAGTTCAGTTATAGCCCTTTCCCAAGTGCCCTTGACATTGATGAGTCTAGCTAAAATATAAATGAGATGGAAGATTAGTTTAGGTTCTACTAATGTGGAAGATAGAACAAATTGTGTCCTTACTTCAGTGTCTTCATCTGGAAACTAGAGCTGACCATGCCCATTCTCCTCTGCCTTTAGGATTAAGTTACCTCCTTTGGTCAGGGTAAGTAAATACCTATGATGCTTGGCTATTAACAATATAAATATTTTGTAGAAGCCTGTAAAAAGTAGAAGAGGGCCTAAGTAAAATCTCCACAAGTCTGGGACAGACAGACCCAGCCCAAAGGTTTAAGAAATGTATAAGCTAGGGAAGCACAGAGCCCCTGTTGACTCAAAGGGAACCTCCTTCTCTATAGGTCTTACCTTTCCATACTATTTCATTCCCACCTGCCTCTCCATCTTTACACAGGGACTATGAGCAATTGCAGTATCCCTTGCCATCCTTCACTTCTGGCTGTCCATCAAGAGGAAGAAAAGCAGTCCTATGTAGGTTCCAGTCTTTGAGTAGTGCAGTTTTCAAGCTTAAAATATACAAAAAAAAATTGGAAAAAAGGGGTGCCTGTATATAAGCAAACGTCTGCAAAATCCTGGACAAAACTGAGATCCCTGTGCATGTGACATGTGTTTCTGGTGTTTGTGTGTTTGCCTGCTTATCTGGGTTATTTTGCCTTTGCACATCTGGATAGGTGAGAAGCTTATTGTTAGAGGCAATTCTAGACAGAGAAAAGGTAAGAAAAGAGGGTAGAGATGACCTCTGGTTTCCAGGCAGAGGGTTCCTAGAGCAACTGGTACCATGCCATGAAGCCCAATCTACCCCTATGGAGAAATCTGAAAGGTTTCAACAGGTATTTGCTGGATTGGCCATAGTTTGTTTACAATTTGCAGAAGACCCTCAAGTCAGCACTTCACAGTGAATATAATCCCTAGTTTAAGGAGCTGACACTCTTATTGCCCCTCCCACATGCTTACTGTATCTGTTTTGTGAATAGATTTAGGTAAATGTTGGCCCCTGGGAGTTCTGCTAACCCTATCCTCAAAATAAAGCTCCGGGTTAACACTTCAGGCCTGGCACCTAAAACCTGGTCCGGGAAAGCAGGAGATTTTCAGGGAGCTAAGGTCTTCCTGGGCTAAAGCGACTCTCTCTTGCCTTCACCACGCGGCCCCAGCACTTGTTTCTCCAAAACCACTTAGCATTAGTGGGCGGGGAGGAGACGGGAGGGGAGAAAAGGAAAGGGGAGGGGAGAAAAGGAAAGGGGAGGGGAGAAAAGGAAAGGGGAGGAGAGAAAAGAGAACGGGAGGGGAGGGAGAAAGGAGGTGGAAAGGCTTGGAGCCCGGCCTGGCGGGGGCGGGACCTAATTCGCAAAACTGTTGCTTTGCTCTCTATGTCCCCAGCGCCCCCTCTGAGATCCCAGGGAGCCACTGTGCTGGGAGAGCCAGAGGGTCCCGAGGAAGCTTGGAGGTAGAGGAGGCAGCAGAGGGAAAGTGACCAAGCTAGCCGCTCCAGTGAGGGACAGGAACCAAAGGGACGCCCCACGCCCCACGTCAGCCCCGGTTGGGCTCTGGAGACAGCCAACGCCTCTTGCTGTGCGGCGGCTTCGAAGCAGCCTCCCGGAGCTACCCTTTTCTCTTTGGTGAAGTTTTTAAAAGCTGCTAGAGATTCGGATGAAGTGAGGAAATTACGGGGTAGGGCTTACGGTTGCCTTTGTCTTTCTCCTTTCCACCCCTTCACCCCTTTCTGGGTTTCCTCTCTTGCTGCTGCCTCTGCCTGCTCCCCTCTGCCCGCTCCCCCACTTCGGTTGGCCCAGCCCGGCCAGCCCGAGTTTGCAGAGAGGTAACTCCCTTTGGCTGTGAGCAGACGAGCTAGCTCTGCGTTGCAAAGAGGGCTCTGGCGAGTCAGGCAATTTCAGAGACGCTACTGCACTGCATCCAGGACCTGGCTACTTAGGCGGCACTCGGGGTGAGCCCCCATTTCCCCCCAACATCCTCTCCACCTCGCCCTGCATGCCCTCCCCTCCCATCCAGTTTTCAGGACCAAAGATCAAAGGATGAAAAGACAATCAGGTCTTCAGTAGCCCAAAACAAAAACAAACAAAAAACATTCAAACCTGAACAAAACCAAAGGGGTGGGGGGAAGACCCACCCTGGTCCCTATTTGCACCTGCTTCAGTGGACATTTAATCTGGAAGACGGAGAGTCCTCTTCTCTTCTCTTCTCTCGCTCTCGTTCTCGCTCTCCTTTCAAGATTTGAGTATCTTTTGAATCTATCCTCCAAGTATTCAGGAATAGACTGTGAGCCTACCAGGGCAGACCTTGTCCAACGCGTGTTTTCACTGCACAAGACTTTGAAGCTGTCAGAGAGATTCTGTGTGGTCATTCCTGCAAGTTTCTTTCCCAGGAGCTTCCCGCAGGTGGTCTGCTAGCTGCAGTGACTACCGCATCACAGCCTGTTGAACTCTTCTCAGCAAGAGAAAGGGAAACGGCATAAAGGAATTAGGTGGAAGATTCAACCAAGCTCAAGGATGGAGGTGCAGTTAGGGTTGGGGAGACTCTACCCACGGCCACCGTCTAAGACCTATCGAGGGGCTTTCCAGAACCTGTTCCAGAGCGTGCGCGAAGTGATCCAGACCCCGGGCTCCCGGCACCCTGAGGCCGTGAGTGCAGCACCTCCAGGCGCCCAGTTGCAGCAGCAGCAGACCAGTCCCCGGCAGCAGCAGCAGCAGGGCGAGGATGGATCTCCCCAAGCCCAGAGCAGAGGCCCTCCAAGCTACCTGGCCCTGGAGGAGGAACAGCAGCCTTCACAACAGCAGTCAGCCCTGGCGGGCCACCCCGAGAGCAGCTGCATCCCGGAGCCTGGAGTCCCCTCAGCTGCAGGCAAGGGGCTGCAGAGGCAGCCGCCAGCACCTACAGAGGAGGATGACTCAGCTGCCCCATCCACGTTGTCCCTGCTGGGCCCCACTTTCCCGTGCTTAAGCAGCTGCTCCGCCGATCTTAAAGACATCCTGAGTGAGGCCGGCACCATGCAACTCCTTCAGCAGCAGCAGCAGCAGCAGCAGCAGCAGCAGCAGCAGCAGGAGGTGGTATCTGAAGGCAGCAGCTGTGGGAGAGCAAGGGAAGCCGCTGGGGCTCCAACCTCCTCCAAGGACAGTTACCTAGGGGACAGTTCTACCATCTCGGACAGCGCCAAGGAGTTGTGTAAGGCAGTGTCGGTATCCATGGGCTTGGGTGTGGAGGCATTGGAGCATCTGAGTCCTGGGGAACAGCTTCGAGGGGATTGCATGTATGCTCCTCTCCTGGGAGGTCCACCCTCTGTGCGTCCCACTCCTTGCGCCCAGCTGGCAGAATGCAAAGGTTCTCTGCTGGATGACTGCCCAGGCAAGGGCACTGAAGAGACTTCTGAGTATTCCCCATTCAAGGCAGTTTACCCCAAAGGGCTGGAAGGCGAGAATCTGGGCTGTTCTGGCAGCGGTGAAACGGGAGTCTCTGGAACACTTGAGCTACCATCCACCCTGTCTCTCTACAAGTCTGGAGCACTGGAAGAGGCAACGACTTATCAGAGTCGCGAATACTACAACTTTCCAATAGCCCTGGCCGGGCCTCCGCCTCCTCTGCCTGCTCCCCATCCTCAAGCCCGCATCAAGCTGGAGAACTCGCTGGACTATGGCAGTGCCTGGGCAGCCGCGGCAGCGGCACAGTGCCGCTATGGGGACCTGGCGAGCCTGCACGGCGGGGGTGCAGCGGGACCCAGCTCAGGCTCACCCTCAGCCGCTACCTCCTCTTCCTGGCACACTCTCTTCACAGCGGATGAAAGCCAGTTGTATGGGCCCTGTGGCGGAGGTGGTGGCGGCAGCACAGGCGAGGCAGGGGCTGTAGCCCCCTATGGCTACTCTCGGCCACCTCAGGGGCTATCGGGCCAGGAAGGCGAATTCTCCCCATCTGATGCGTGGTATCCTGGCGGCATGGTGAGCAGAGTTCCCTATTCAAGTCCTAGTTGTGTCAAAAGCGAGATGAACCCCTGGATGGAGAGCTACTCTGGATCTTATGGGGACATGCGGTAAGTTTCTCCATTTAGAAATGTCTTTCAGCCTTGAGTCAGTATGCGTTCTGGGGTATATATTCTCTTCCTCGCGTGAACATTCTACCACTGAGAGAGCCCTAGAAGATTCCATAGAGAGGGCTGCCCTAAATGGGGAGCTTTACCTGGACTCTAGGCCTACCTAAGATTTTACCTTAGTGCTCTGAACCCCCACTGTGAGCCCCAATCACTGCCTTTAAGTCCCTGGGTGCTGGTTCCTGCCCTTCCAAATTCCATAACAATTCTCTACTCCCAGCCTCCTAAAATCCTTGCTGCCTCCCCAGGGCTCCAAACTTAAATCCAGTTGCAAGGGCCACCACCAGAAATAAAGCCCTAAGCCCTACACTAATTTTTCTCCTCCACTCCCCCAAATCTGTGAACATGGACAAAGTATGGGCAGTTTCTCCTATTAGAGTCTGTTGCAGTTTGCCCTCCAGCCTGTGGCAGTCCTGGCAGGTTAGAGGAAAAATGACTGGCCCAAGCTTTTCTCAGCCCGCCTCCTTCAAAGACATAAAATGGAGTGTGAGATTAGGGGGAACAAGATGGTCTCTGAGTTCTAAAAACTCTATGAAGAAGGGGCGAAGTTCCTTCCCTGGCAACAATTAAGGACATGCCCTAGGACTGGAGGTCAGCACAGAGAATCTAACCAGGCAGGATTAGAGAGCAGGCAAAGGTAGAGGAAAACCAAAGGACAACTTTCTTAGTGAACACTGGGCAGGATTTGCCCTCACAAGTTACACAGGTTAACTATGTTGGAAGTAACTGCTTGTTTTTTGTTTTTTTTTTCTTGTGGATTATAACGAACCCATAGTCCTCTACTTCAGGTTTGCATCAGATCTATAAAGAGGAGAATGTTCTTTTAGAAAATAATTTAACCACACTTGCATCTGATTTATAAGTGTTGGGAAAAGTTTTAAAGGATTTCCGTGTGCTCAGAAATCTGCTTTTAGGCTCTTCAATATATTCCTTCATTTTAGGAACATTTTCAAATATGAGCTGTTACCTCTAACAAACTGAATAAGAACTGTTAGGGACCTGTGAGTTATAATCTTGCCCAAAAATTTTACTTAGAAAATGAGAAAAGTGGCAGTCAATTTCATCTTGCTTATTATAACTTCTTCCTTACCAAAGTTGTTTATCTTTTTGCAGACCATGTTGATGATTTTTGCCCCAGCAAATGGAGATATTAGTATATCCTGGTGAGGGAGGGAATATATTGACTGGAGAACTAACTCCTCAGGTTTGTTGGGTACTGATATCCCCCATGGACTTGTTGTGTATTGTTCTGCATTTTCTATAGCTGTGACTATATCTGTTACAAAATTTCTTTGGCAACTTAAAGTCAACAATTTGCCTTCTTTCACTGATGCTTTTGTTCTTGGAAGGTTGATAGTATAGTGTTAGAAAAGAGAGGGGAGGATAGAATTTCATAAAATATTTTCTGGGCTATTGAAGAAACAGCTTCTTACCAGGCTTTACATGCCATTAGCGTTTTTTAAGGTTTGGCTTACAGGATTTTTAAAGGGTTTATTTATAGTGTCAAAGTCTTTTCTTGTTAATTGGGGGGATTTTGTTTGTTTTTATTTTTGTGAGGTGGTTATACTGTGGCATAAAAGTTATTTTCCATTTTATAAGAACAGATTTACTTGGTAGGGTTAACTTGATTTTGAAGGGCTGTAGCTAGTCAGCGAGCCCTCTTCTTCTATGAACTTTTCTGGGGCAGAGGATGTCAAAGGTACTTCTTGACCTACTATTGTGCTAAACCCAGTCACTGGAACCTTCCCTCTTTTGCATGCCTCCTCCAACTAACTCAGTTAACAGGGAGTAAATGAGTGATTCCACATATTTTTTGAGGAATAGGTATCTTCCAAGAAATAACCTGAAATTTTCAGGAAGTGGTTATCCAGAGCAAAACGTTTTTACAGGTGTGCAGTAAGGTAGGTAGGTGATTTTATCCCAGGCCTCAATAGAAAAACCTCTCTATTAGAAAGACCTGCTTAAAATAATGACCTGAACTAATGAGGATTTTTCAGTATCCAAACAAAGTACAAAATTATTGAATCTTTCCTGGTTTCTGATTGCTGCACTGGTTTGGGAGTCTAGTGCAAAGGAAAACTGTTGTTTCTGTCCTGTGGGTTGACAAAGAATTTTCATTTCTAAAATATAGAAAATCCTTGATTCAGTTTTTTTTAAAATACCAATTTCATCAGAATGCAACCAATCCCAATCTAAAAATAGACATTTTCTTATTTTTTCTTTCTTCCCCTCACTTTGTAGAGGCATAATTTGGTAAAAGGCAAGGGTCTGGTTTTTTTGTTTGTTTGTTTTTGTTTGTTTTTAAAGCCAAACCCAGAGCTTCCACCTTCTCTGCATTGCATGTATTATAGACCAATTTTGAGTTAAAAATCTCAAAATTCTAGAGGCCTCCAATAACCTATTGGATTTCTCCCTTTTCCAATTGTGCTTGTGTGTTCATATACATTAGTTAATTGTAAGGGTGGAAATTTTTAAAACTTTAGTAACTTCTGGAATAGCTATGTTTTTATATATCTACAGTGTTTCTGGGGAGAGAAGAGAGGCTGAAGGTGGTCTTTATTTTCTTATTAAATTTACCATGTGGTTTGAACAGAAGGAATCATAAAAAAGTGATGCAGCTTGTGTGCAACCCTGGTGATATTTTATGGAACTGTCCTCTTTCAGAGATCAAACAAGACTAAAACTTTGTTAATTGACCACTGTCCCATTTGACAAAAGTAGGGCCCTTTATATTCTGGAAAATAGCACAATATGACAAATATTTATTCTTGGGAGATAAGGCTTAGGGGAGCCTGTCCAGGAATTAGAGTTGGGGTTTAGATAAATTGTCCAGATGCAAAAAGAAACTTTAAATTTTCTCTTGGTATTTGGTTCTGGTCTTCATAAGAACTAGTATTTTAGTGGTGCTTCAAGATTGGCAAATCCTGTCATGCTCTATTAGTTATTTCAAAATAAGTCATTTTATTAACTCCCCTTTCCATCTCTTTCCCCTCCTCAGTTATCAAGCAGATTTTTATGACTGTCTTTCATGGAGCAGTTTGTCTGTTTTGTACAGCAGAATTTTGCTTGGGGATCAAGATAGATTGACACTTTTTGTCCGGAGGCCTTGAACCAGTATCTTGGGGGAAAATCCTTTACCCATGGTCAGCAAATCACTGCTGAGTTCTGTCTGGGCACCAGTAATCAGAACCCAAGGACAAAATAGCCACACTGGCTGGTACTCCATTTTGAAATATGTGCAAAATGTAGCGATGGAAGGTTCCTTTTGGTTGTCCACAGAGTATTTCTCTCAGTTTGGCCAAAGATTAACATAAGTGAGAGATATTTTCAAAGAACATTACAGCCTTCCAGTTGCAGGGTCACTTTGTGGTGCCTTCTTGCCAGTGCTAATTTTACTTCATTAGCCTTATATTCTTTCAGCTGTAAACTTTAATATAATGTATTGAATTTGCTGGAGCATTTAATTTTGTTTTTTAAAAGTGCCTTTCCTCCCTGTAGTAATTTTATCATCTGGTATACATATACTAACTTAAAACAAGTCATTCTTTGGCCTCCTTACTCTTACTTCTACTGTGGCTGCTCTTGGTGGAGTTAGGGGCATAGACAATTTTATTATTTTTTATGGTGCTATGGGTTTCATTCGGACTCTACTCAAGAGGGAGCTTAAAGCTGTTGGGTGTAGCAAGTAAAGGGCTTATTTTATACCCAAATCAGAAAACATGATTCTGAAACATAAAAAGGAAACAAAAATCAAGTTTTGTGAGTTTGGTAGGAGAGGAAGAAGGAAACCTCTCTCCATCCCCTACCTAATTCCACCATTTTCTTAGTTTGCAGCTTCCTCAAGTGCTGCCTATATCCCTGATTTTCTTTCTTCCTACTCCTTTCTTGCTTTTGACATTGAAATATACGTCCTACTTTTCAGATTATTTTTCTCATTATTCCTATAGATTGCTCCTAAATAATTTTTTTTTAATTTAAGAGTAACAAATCAGATCAACCTCAACTCCTCTCTTTTAAGATTAGTTGACTTAAAGTAATAGCAAAATGAATAGCTGGGCTTTTTTATCTTAAAGTTAGAACCTGATTCAACAATTGCTGAGGGAGTTGAACTAGATAGCTTGAGGTGAGGACTTGGCAATTTATTGAAGTATTTTGCTGGCTACTGTCTCTGAATCTCTCTCTCTCTCTATTGATTTTTGTTTTTCTGTGTCTATTGGTAATTTTGGCAACCTTTTCTCAAAGCCTGAGAAGAACTGGGCCCTCTCCCTTCTGAGACTGCTCTGCCTGGATCAAATCACCAAAGTGCTGTCACAAGCAGTACCTAATGTGCATATGAGGATGCTTGCTATAAGTGACTGGCTGGGCTTATATTTAGAATTATAAATTAATAATTTGAAAACAAAGAAAGATATTAAAATAAATTATAGTACCTCATGCCGAAACTGGTTTGGCTCGGTGGATAGAGCGTCAGCCTGTGGACTGAAAGGTCCCGGGTTCGATTCTGGTCAGGGGCATGTACGTTGGTTGCGGGCACACCCCCAGTGGGAGATGTGCAGGAGGCAGCTGGTCGATGTTTCTCTCTCATCGATGTTTCTGGCTCTCTATCCCTCTCTCTTCCTCTCTGTAAAAAATCAATAAAATATATGAAAAAAAAAAAGCCGAACCAGTTTGGCTCAGTGGATAGAGCATCGGCCTGCGGACTGAAGGGTCCCAGGTTCGATTCCGGTCAAGGGCATGTACCTTGGTTGCAGGCACATCCCCAGTAGGGGCCGTGCAGGAGGCAGCTGATCTATCTCTCCCATCGATGTTTCTAACTCTCTATCCCTCTCCCTTCTTCTCTGTAAAAAATCAATAAAATATATTAAAAAAAAATAAATTATAGTACCTCAGACTTCCCTTGTCAGCATTCTCTCAAGTTTTGAGATGTTGAATTCAGAGTAAGT